ACATATGCCACACCCTCGGAAACCCTGTACAGGGTCGCTATGGGTCGGAACTGACTCGACGGCACACAACAACAACAACAACAACATGCCATTAGGCAAATCTGCTGCACAAGACCTTTTTAAAGTGTTGAAGAGCAAAGATGTCAGCTTGAGGACTAAGGTGTACCTGATCCAAGCCATGGTATATTCAATAACCTCATATAGATGCGAAACCTGGACAGTGAATAAGGAAGATCGTAGAAGAATTGATGCTTTGAGTTCTGGTGTTGGAGGAGAATATTGAAAGTGCCATGGGCTGCCAAAAGAACCAACAGATCTGTGTTGGAACGAATGCAGCCAGAGTGCTTCTTGGAGGCCAAGATGGCCAAACTTTTGTCTCTCATACTTCAGACATATTGTTAGGAGGGCCAAGTCGCTGGAGGAGGATATCATGTTTGGTAAGGTGGAGGGTCAGAGAAAAAGAAGAAGCCCCCAGTGAGATGGATTAGCCAAGTAGCAGCATCGATGGACTCAAGTGTGGCAACAGTAGTGAGGTTGGCCCAGGATCGGGCAGTGTTTCGTTCTGTTGTATACAGGGTCACTATGATTCAGTACTGACTCTATGGCACCTAACAACAACATTAACAAGTATTATTGTATGGTTGCAGCTGTTTCTCTTCACTTTGAGTTGTGCGCCATCAGCAAAGGAAGATCCCCAAAGCTTTATTCCATGTGCGTCATCATGGTCAACTCTGCTCTGAGGAGGCAGCTCTTCCCCAGTCGTATTTTGAGGGCCTTTTAACCTGCGGGGCTCACCTTCCGGCAGTATTCTGTTGTCAGTTATGATGTTCTTGTCGCTGATAGTGTTCTGCTACCGTTCATGAGGTTTCCAGTGGCTGAGCATTCAGACCTGGGCTACCTGTCCTTCTCCCTGGTCTGTCTTAGTGTGGCAGCTCAGCTGAAACCCGTCCACCATGGGTGACCCAGCTGGCACTTCAGACGCAGGTGGCATAGCTTTTAACCTCACTGCAACATGCCATCACAGTACGACAATAAAGCGATTGTCAACAGAGAAATGAAAAATAAAAAAGTGGGGGCACTCAGACCTTGGAATATTACGCTGTTAGGAAAGAGTTAGATGTCCACCACCTGACCCAGTGTGTTCCTCAGGGACAAGTCTATGCACTATGACTCCATCCTTACAAATTCCTCCCTACTCATAGCGACACCGTCGGACAAAGTAGAACTGTTCCTTAGGATTTCGGAGACTACGTTTTTACGGGCACACGCTACCCTGTCTTTCTCCTGCAGAGCATCTGGTGGTTTTGAGCCACCAACCTTTCAGTCAGCAGCCTGATGCTTCACCCGCCATGCCACCCAGCCTCCTTCCTTATAAGCAGTGCCCAAGGGTTCCCTATGAAGTGTACAGGCTTATGCACGAGCGCGTCAGGAAATGCAGGGGAGGGTCCCGCAGGCTGGGCACATCAGTTGCAGTCTTGAAGCCAACAAGACTGCAGACAGTAAATCTCTGGTTTTGTGCAGAAGTTTGTGTTATGTGTGCGTGCAGAGGACTCATGGTGATTAGCTGAATGTGGCATGGCGTGGGTGATATTTTTCCTTTACGTTTCTTGGCATTGCTAAGCTGTTTTCATAACAACTATGTGTCTATGTAACTAGAAAAAAATTCAATAAAGCTCTTTTTCATTGTGTGTGAGGAGAAAGTAGTCTTGAAGTAGCCTTTCCTTCCCCCAGCTTTGGGCTGCAGGCATCACAGGGAGATGGATGTGTTCTGGTGGGAAGAGCTTTAGCGATATGAAGCGTGCTCCAGCTCTTGAAGCCTGCAGGGCTGTGAGGCCAGCCTCTTTTCTGTATAAAAGTGAAAGCCTCTGGTGCTCCCAAAGACCCGCTTCCCTGCGGAGCAGAGCACCAGCTACTCCCGCTGAGAAGTGACTCCCCCCTTCTGCTTTCTGTCCTGGGGATGGGCTAGTGTCATCGTCTCGTACTCTTCCTTCCGGGGTCCCAGGTCAAGTGTCTGCCTTGAGGGTGTGAGTGGGTCATCTTCGAGCTGCACAAGGCTAGCAAGGCTGAGCACAGTAAGTGACCTGTGGGTCTTCCCTGCCAACCCTCGAGCTTTGAGGGTATCACTCATTTCCCAAACACCTCTTCAGATCGGCTCCCAGCTGCTAACATCTCCCTATGGGTAGTTGTTCATTTACCACTGGGCTGGTGACGGGTGTTCTCCCAGAACTTCATTATTAGCATGCTGCTGTTGGAGACGCTGAGGTTTGCACATTGCATTTCATCTGGGTCACGGGAATGGCCCTCCCATTGGCAGTGCTGACAGGAAAAACCCACTCTTCACAGTACATCACATGTCTTCCACTCACAGGGGCTGGTGGTCAGAGGCTAGAGCCAGAGTGCTGGTGGGGCCTTCTCAGAAATGAGCTCTGTGGTTTCTTACATTTCATTAAAAAATAGTTTCATGATTTGGCCTTCTAGTCACTTTGAAATGTAAAATGGTTACAAAATATTCACAACATTGTAGTACGTAACATTTTAATTTAGCGCTTTAAACGACTCCAGTGCAGAGTTCAGCACACCTCACAAGACGGCAGCGGGGTAACAGTTAGAGCGTGACAGGCTGTCATGGGGTGAGTTGTGTCCCCAAAGATGTGTCAGCTCAGTATTGTGTGGTTGTCCCCGTGACGTGCTTGGTGATAAATCCAGTTTCTGCCTGTGTCGGCTGGTGAGGCAGGAGGAGAGTGGGACCATCACCTGACTTGTCACCAGCCGGACTCAGGTCTCAGTCCTGATCCAGTGTATGTGGAGTGCCCTGGGGTGTGGCCCGCACCACCCTTTGTCTTATGAGGCATCAAAGGAGAGAGAGGGGCCTAGTACCACCAAGAAAGAGGAGCGGAGCACTTCCTTTGGGCCCAATGTCCCTGTGCTGAGAACTTCCTAGACCCAAGGAAAGACTGACTTAGCTAAGACACCAGGAAATCAGGGAGAACCGGGCCCACGAATGGTGACAGGAGACAAGGACCTTCCACCAGAGACAGAAAGCCTTTTCCTAGAGCTGGAAACCTCCTAGAGTTTGGACTTCTGGTCTGAGTCGCAGCTGACTCTTCGGCACTTAGCGACAACAATCTGTCCGAAAAGAAATTCCTGTTTGTTAAAGGCTTTCCCTTGTCGTGTGGATGACAGGGTGAAGGTGCTGGGATGTGGGCATGCTGTCTAAACAGCTTGTCTCCTGTGGGCATCTGTGGAGCACAGTGGGTGCACACATATGGGGTGGGGTGAAACTCAGACCGCAGTGCAGGTGGCCTGACAGCTGTGTGTGGGGAGTGTGGAGGGCAGTGTGGGGGCTCCAGAGTTGGGGCAACATCGCGCGAGTGGACGGTCTTGGGACCACTGTAGGCAGCAGGACTGAGGAGGTCAAGAGGACTGTCAGTACTCATGCCATGGTACGCATGTCACGGCCCTGTCGTGGCAGTATTCACATGGCGACCCTGTCCATGCTGGTCCTGCTAGTTACAGCCCTCATGTGGCAGTATGGTGATGGTGCTCACGTGGCACTGCTCACGTTTCTCCTCTCCTCGTCTCATTGAAAGTCTCTAGATCCTTGAAACTCAGCCTTCCTTGTCTCCAAGAATTCTTCAGTTCTTCTACCGGCTGACTCATCTCTCCGTAACCCATCACTCATTGCTAGAAACCGAGGGTTTGGTTTTCCACTCATACTGCGTATTGATTCTCTTACCCGCATGTCTGCTCATCGAAGGGCTCTTGATCTTCCCCTCTCCCACTCAGGGGACGTGTCAGCTCCTTCCGTTCCCTCCCACCCCATATGCTGACCTCTCTCGCTCCTCCCTCGGAAATGCCAGCAGCAGCGATTTCCAGAAGGTCTGAACTGGTCATCACCTCCATCCCACATTCGGTGCTCTCCATTACGCTGTTGTGGGCAGTCACCTGGGTGGGCTTCTAACGCTCGCTCCATGCAAGCTATGTGCCCACACACATACAAGCACGCCACACGTACTCTATCACCAAGTCAGACATGTCTCCGAAGTCACATACCAGGCCCCAAAAGAAGAGTGTGGGTGGTGGGCAGTCCATGTGCTCGGTGGCGCCCCCTCCTGGCGTCCCAGTGAGCCGGCTCATTGGCCGCGCCCTCTGTCTGTCTGTGCAGGTACTGCAGGGCGCCCAGCTGATCGCCGTGGCCTCTGCAGACCCGAGTGCCGCAGGAGTCGACGGATCGCCTCTCCAGGGTACTGACATCCAAGTCCAGTATGTCCAGCTGGCACCGGTCACGGACCATACCACCGCTGCACAGGTAGATCCTTTCCCGCCCGTGGATGGGTGTGTCACTCTTGCGGGCTCTCATGCTGTGTGTGGGGCCGTCTGGCTGAGCGGGTGTTTCCTGGGGAGACTCGGGTAAAGCCCTCTTTGTATTCCCTCAGACGGCCGAGAGCCTGCAGCCGCCTTTGCAGCCCGACATACAGCTCGAGCACGGGGCCATCCAGATCCCGTGAGGGGCCCAGCACTATGGACTCTCGTGCGCTTAGAGGTGACCACTGAAGAGCCCCAGCGGGCAGGACGGAGACCACCGCCAGCACCGTGCAGCCGGAGGACCCCTTCTGTCAAGTCACGCTGCTGGTGCTGGGAGAGTGGGGCGGTGCTGCGAGCACCCACGGAAACATCAAGAACTGCGGTCTTTTTCTCTGTCTACACAGCTTTTTTAAATTTGCTATGGTGTTTCTAACAAAAGGGGAAAACTGAGCAAACCAGTGCAGTAGCAGAAGCCTTTTGCTGTGTGTCTGTTCAGCATGATGGAAGTCGGTCTTCACAAGAAACAGCTCCCGATTCTGATGGAAGTCCTACTACTGGCTCTTCTGGGGGCTGTTCTCACGCTCTGTAATTAACGCGTTTCTAATGAAATAAATGTATTTATGGCCACAGCAGCTCCAGGGCAATTTCATAGCAAGTGGGGACGGGGTCACGTCAGGCTGTCCTCCTCCCTGGGACTGAGTGGACGGCCTCCTCCAGATCACAGTCCTGTTGGGGTGTTTGTGTCTGTCTCCTGGTGGGTGTTTCAGACCTGGATCCCTCAGGGTCCCATTCGCTATAACGGCGTTCCTCCCCGACACACGATGAGTCTGGATCCGACCTGCCACACGAGAGTCTCGTCAGCATTTCGAAAGTGCTCACTTTTGTAAACTTGCGTGGGACATGGCCCTTGAGTGGCTCCTGCTGATCCTAAACCACTGTGAGTGGGACAGACATCCCCAGCCCAGAAAGGGACAGCCCCAGGGTCGTCAGAGAACAGCATTCCAAAGTAGACAGCCCCATATAACACGGAGCAGAAGGCAGAGACCTGCAGTCCCCAGAGATGGGGCAGTGGTGGGCTGAATTTTGCCCGGACTATGACGGGGTTTGTGAACTTTCCAAACCAGATTATACTCCCCTGGCTTGGAAGGGGGCTGCCTGACATTTCTGAAATGACATTCAGATTTGCCACCAAAACAAGCATGCCTCTGCCACGCTGCCCGGCAGGTGGCCCTGGGCTGAGACCGGGGGCATACTGGACCTGTGTCTGTCTGATGAGGGTGGGCCTGGAGAGGGAGGTGAGCTGGATGTCTCTGCCAGTCCTTTGATGCAGGCGGCTCTAGGATAACGAGGGACAGACTGCAGGAGGCAAGAGTGTGGAGCTCACAATGGGAAGGTCAGATGAGCGTGTCTGATGGGACCCCAGAAGGCAGGAGCGGAAGGCACACTGTGCTTAAAGGATTCAGGAAGCAGAACCTATCCTAAAGTCAGACAAATACCTGGACACATTCACAGTGGAAGGTGGAAACAAATCAAGACACATGATCTTCTTTCTCAACAGAAGCAAAAGTTTCTGATGAAATTCAACACTCATGCAAAAAAACAAAGACCCAAAGTGCTCTAAAAGCCAGCAGTGATGAAGGGTTTCGACAGAAGCCCCAAAGCCCATGGCCAATGGCTCTATGGTGCTAATTGAGGGGTGGGTTGTCCTCAGCCCTGCCTGGGTCTGTGCTGGGGTCACAGGAGCAAGGGACAGAGATGAACGAACGAGAGGCGTAAACACAGAAGAGAAGATACTAAACTCATTGCTTGCAAGTGATGTAATCATGTGTCTAGAAATCCAAGATAATGTACACATTGTTGGAAATAGCAAGAGATCCTCAAAGCTTCTGGGATCAAAACCAAAGTGTAAAATGTCACTGCATTTTTGTATGTCTTTTCAGAATGAAAAAAAAAAATTTTTTTTTTTGTCTATTCCTTTTTTTTTTTTTCATGTTTTATTGTGAATTATATGAT